GGAAGGTCGGGCCGGCGGGCATCTGGCGCTCCGGCATCCCAGCGGGGGAAATAGGAGAAGTGGCTATTGCTGCCGGGCGGAAAGCATCTCTCTCCCTCTGTCGGGGAGTGCGCTCTGCCCCTGCCTCCGTTACTCACACGTTGGTTTGAAAAAATACATGTAAAAGCTCTACTGAAAAGCAAAACAAGACACATAGCTATTTCAAGCACACAGAAGATTGTTGCTGGAGATTGCTTACAGGCAGCCTGCCCATTGATAGTGCTGTTTCTTGAAAACCAGTGCACTCTGCAGGAACAATTAGGGCTGCTGTAACCATTAGCACTCAGAATGACACACAGAAACAGTGAATGGGACAAAACAGACCGAGCTAAAACAATAGACGGTGCTCACGCTCCTCAGTCTATCCAATCTATATACTGGCGCCAGAACAAGTAGATACCACACCAGCCGTCTTCCTTCCACTTCAGCTGTTAATGAAATCTGTTATTAGTCTGTTATTAGTTGTAATTAATCTGTTATTAGTTATAAAAGCTGTTATTAGTCATGAATTCTGGCAAGAGAATTCACTATACACCATAGAACAGTATTTGAAGAAAATCCATCTATTCTTTCTTAAAGAGAAAAAGGGTTCAGCTCTTCAGGTCTGCCTTATGATATGGATCTGGAAGTAAGCAGACTGGGGGTGTGGGCTGCTGTAGCTCTGAGGCTCAAAGGTGCTCACAACATTGGCAACTTGCAGTTTCCCTTAGAGACAGTTACCTTAAGGGATTTTTAGCACACCTGCATTCTCTTCCCTCTCCCCGACCTGTACATGAAAGTACAGGCATGACAAAAAGAAGTGCCATTAATAAAGTAAATATAGCTTGAGAGGCTGAATGAATTTCTGACTTCTCTGCAGTAGGGAATACTTTCCCAGTTTTAAATGGTGCTGGAATCTAGCAAACTGGAATTAAACACAAATCAATGTACTGAATAGGTACATTTTCAGCCATCACTCCAGAACCTCTCCTGGCATACTGAAAGCAGACCCTGCTTTAAAAGTATTTTGTAAATTATTGTTGGTGTGTGTATGAGAGAAAGAGAGAGAAAACTGCAATAGTTTCAATTTTTTTTTAAGGTCTGAGAGAACCTAAGACTATCCCAAATCTCTTAAACACAACTCTTGTGCTGATCTCAGCAGCCATGTCCACTCTTCTGGGCCAAATGCAGGTAATGTACAAGCATATCACTTCCCTAGGTAACTTTTTCAAATTCACAATTAAGAATGAGCCTTATTTCTTAACAAAATTTGCCTTTGTTCAATGTCAGCTCTTAGTTAGTACTCTCCAATGATTAGATGGACAAGTAGCACATTTTTCAGTACACCTCAGAAGTCTCATACAGCACCATTAAAACTGCTGTAGGTTAAAGAGAGTTTGAATTAGTGTGAAATACCCTGTCATTTATTTCACTGGCAGAATTCACGATCTTTTGGCAGCTGCTGGAAGCACTGCCCAAAGGAACAGAACATCTCTCAAGAATAAAATGTAAGAATCACAATTATGGGTTCTGAAATGCAGCATGAGGTAAGTTTTCAAGTATTTTTTGTCTTATTCTGATATTCACAGGATCTGACAGAAACTAATTTCCAGCAGCTATATTTCTCTGTTTATTTGTACACCTGTGCTTGGAGGTATTTTCCCTGGTATTTAAATCCGGGGGAAAAATAGTTATGCCACTGCCGTTAATCCCTGACACTTCAGTACTTTGATTCCTTTGCCACAAAGTTGATGAGGTCATTAGTTAAACACTGCTAGTAAAAGGATATTTTATACCTCCCTCTGTTAAAAGTAAGGGATCAGGCTGGATCTACCTACTGCAGTTTACAACTGCTGCTGTTTATTATAGTTTATATAGTTATACTTTTTATTTGCTCCTATTCAAAAGTGCTTACAGCTTTTAATTTGGAATTGTTCAACCTACTTTTTGATCCCCGAAACGTCTACAGGAGTTGATTACTTGACTGACTGAACACCATTAGGAACAATATTTATGTCTCTCCAACTTGTGCTTTTGCTTATGCCCTATTAACAGAAATGGCACAAGGGTCTGAGCAAATACAGCCGTTAACTGTCACTGAAAACTCAAAAAGAGAACACTGAAATCCACACAGCAAAGGAACTGTATTTACATTCTCAGTTGTGATTCTGCATAAGGAGACTGCAGGACTTTATGCACTATTTTTGCTGGAAATCATACACCTGAAGAAATGAACTATTATATGTATTTCTCAAGTATCCTATTAAAAACTTGTCTTGGAGAAAAGGTGTTTGGACTTTAACCACAAAACCTTTGCTCTATGTACAAACACCGAAGCACTCTGCTATTACCCAAAAGACAGGTATAAGAAAATCAAGCAATCATTTTATGTGACATCTAACTCCAGGAGACACTTACTAGCTGAAGAGCTCAGTCACTTACTGGCACATCATCTCCTACTGGGGTGCAGCTCACAAGGTTTCTCTCATGCTTTACTGAGGAAAATCTTCAAGTTAGATCAATGGAATTATCAAACTGCAGCATTAGACACTTTGCACCATGTACTAGGCCTGCAAATGTAGCTGTACTTTGTGACTGTACTTTATTTTATGTCTTGTAACTCCAAATAAAAATTGTAAGCTAGTTGAAGGTGGGATCCAAGATGTCTAAATGACCAGACTCTTGCGGCGAACAGCTATGCTGTGTCTCTTTGGTCTGTTAGCCTGGCCAGGCAATAGCACTTCAACACCCTCATGGGTATACTTACACCTCCTCTTCCAGATGAAATTACTTCCACCCCTTTTACTAAGTCACCTCTTTGTTAGGTCTCTGTTCACCTAAGTTTCTGATGTTTGTAGAGGGTTCTAAAGAGAAAACCTGGATCAGCAATTGTAGTGCAAGATTTGGGGCTACATGACTCAATGTAGTCATGAATCAATGTATCAGTGCAGCTGTCCCTCAGCTGTATAAAGTGAGATTGATCACTCAGTATGCAGGTGATCTTTGATGAAAAACTGCTGCATGCACAGCAATTCTCAAAAAAAGCTTGAGAACAATTGCATCAAACATCATGCAGTTAAACACCATCTTCAGGCTAAAAACATGAAGTAAAACACAAGTGAAATGAGGATGCCACAAACAAAATCATGTAGTTCATTGAAAAAAGCAGCAACTACTAAAGGGCATGGGCTCTGCTGAAGGTAAAAGCAAACTCCAAACAATGCACTGAAGAGCTGTGTGGCATTAAACCTCACACCACAGAAGGGACTCTTGGAAGAATCAGTCTGATCCACTTTTGGTGGGGAATGCATATGCTATAAATAAAATACAAAATATTCACATTTTTCTCTGCAAGAAAGAGACTTAAATAAATATGTGGTCTTTTAAAATTTATGATATTTACATGAGAAAGCCAAAGTACTGGCTAGCCTCCACATTAGGAACATTGCTGTGCACTTTTATGTGGAGATCTTTTTTCTTTCTTTGAGGGTTCCCATTAAGAGCTCTTTAGGGTTATTAGTTCTGTTACCAAACAGAATTCAAGGGAAACATCTTTATCTGCTTTAAATCATATACTGATATTTGCAATTGGAACATGTTAAGTCAAACCTTTTTTTAAGGTTAGGCCCTCAATGCAATTATATTTTAATTGCACATTGTGTCAGTCGAATTTATATATACACATTATATAAACAATTTGCATGTGGAATCATTCCATAAGAAGATATAGAGCAAGGATTCCAAGACTCCTGTACTTTTTTAAAAAAATTATTAAGTAATGTTCATCATCTACTTTTAATAAAGTAAGGTATGATGGTGCCAAGACATATAGCTAGTACCTTGCCACCATCTACATTCTGCATATTTAACAAAAAATGTTGCTGATTGTGGCTATTGGTAGGCATTTAGGGCCTATCCATTTAGTCATTTAGAGACAATTCATGGAGGGAATGCAGAGGAATAATTTTTTAAAAATTCCTAGATTGTTCTTGAAGTTTGAAGAGGGACCATGTTTTTTTGTCCCAGAGTTTAATTCTTCTTATTGCACATACAAGGGAAGAAATCTCACCTGTGTACTGAGCAACAAGTATCCCAAGGACTGATCCCTGGCACCACCATTGATTGATGAAATCTGTTCTGTGCACGGGCCAGCTTGCACAGAACAGATTTCATCAATGTTATTTACCTCCTGAACTCTGTAACAGGCCAATCACATCCCATGTGCCCACCAGAAATGGTACCTTGCCAGTTCCTGAATTGAGCACAGGCCAAAACCTGCGCCAGCAAGTGTTCTAACAACCAACTGTACAGATGACTGGGCTACAGTGTCCCAGAAAATTTCCTGGCACTACCAAGTCTAGTGACATAGATGTAGTGTGACAGGCTTAACATTAAGCCTTTAACATACTCATTTTGGTCTCAGTCAAAAATGTGATTGAATCTTTTTTAACCACCTATTTTAGGAAGAAACAATCTCTAAATGAGCTTTTGTCACTCTAATTCTGACTAAAAGAGGCATCTCACAACATTATTGCTATTAAAGCAAGAGCAAAGTGTGGGGTTTTGTGACATTTAGCTTTGGAAGCATATTAAACATGGTACTAACAAAGCTGAAGCGTGGTCTTTGCAAACAAGAAATGCATTTTACAGGTTTTCTTGTCAAATGTTTTTCTTCTTATGATGATCCAATACAAAACAAGGCTAAAAACCTTTTATTTTTTAATGCACATTGAATTTTATACAAGCTTGTAATAGTCACAGTCCTCATGAAAAACTCCAGAGTTAAAGGAATTTTTTCTGCCCCCCTTTTTTTTTCTAACCCTTAAGATCAAGATGTTGTAGTAAGATAATATCTTGAATAACCTTTGTATAATATCTCTCAAGAATAACCGAGACTTCAGGGTAGTCAAGAGCAACGTAAGCTAAAAAGCTGTGCAAACAAGCAGAATTTGATTTGCAAAATGAGAATGAACAGTGACAATCGGTAAATAGAAGCTGCTTTGGCATTGGAAGGAGTTGGAAAAATGGATGTGTGGATTTCCAGCCCCCTCACCATGACTTTACTGTGTATCAGTATATTCAGGTTTAAGTTGTGGGGATAGTTAACACAGACACATCTTCTGTTAAGATCTAAGCAGTAGTTTTCTGAGACTTTAAAGTCCTGGAAATGATGACATCTGCTCAGTATGCTCACAGGTGGCACAACTGTGTATTTTATAATTTCATTCTTGATGTAACTTAAGTTTCATTTAGCTTCTTCAGGTTTCCATGTGCATTTAAGACTAGTTCAAACTACAAATTAGAAATCTATAATTAAATCTAGTCTCTAAACCATTATAATAATTAATAAAAATACTGTCTCAGAGTGTGAAGGGTTTGCATCTGGTGACTATTAACATGAAACAGGGTAAATGAATTTTGCATAGAATTACTTTTTAATATCAGGATGTTGTGAAGTACTAGGTCTTTCATAAAAACAGTGTAGTAACTTCCCTTTCCAATACTTATCTTATTTCTCAGTCTTTAAAAATTATTTATTGAATTTTTTTCAATTTGTTTTTTCCTGTTAATTCAGCAGTTACATTAAATCAAGTGAATTAAATTACATTACAAATATTGGCAGTTCAGTATAGTAGCATATCGGTTGAGCACAAAACTCTGAGTAAATCTAGACTTTAATTTTTGTTTTGTACAACTCTCACTGATCTGTCCAAGAGACAGTCTTTACTTTCATGCCCTTTTTCTCCCACTCTAGCAATTGAAGTCACTTAAATGACACCAAATGCGGAGAACACAGCTCATGTTCTACCTGGGCTTCTTAGGTTTCCAATTTACTGGAAATATTCTTTTCAAAGAGAAAAGCATATCAGGACAATCTATGATTTTAGAAGCTATAACTGTCCCTTTTTAAAATAGGAGATTCAACATGTCTCTTGCACGTTCTAAAAGCAATGTACTGGGAAGCACTTATTTGTTTACTTGACGCATAATCTACTTATCATGTTTGCAGTATGGTTTGTTACTTAATAATACGAGCAAGGAAAGTTTTCTGCCACCTAAAATCACACCTCAGCTCCAGACAGAGTCCATGGTCCACAAAGAGCTACCAGAGGTAAGTACTGACCACCTCCCTGATGCAAGGTACAAACCCAAAGGGAAAATGTCAAAAAGGAGGACTCTCTCTGTAAAGAAGGTACGGAAGTTACATGGGGGAATTAGCAGAACTGGAGCTGGCAGTCAATAAAAGGAACAGAATAAAGGCAGCCGCTTAGGAGCACTGAGAAAACAGAAAGTAAGGGCTGGATCAGTAAGTACTCGCTGTATACTGGTAAACTAGACCCCAAGAAAAAATTACTTGGCGTTGGAAAGAAATTAAGAGTAGAAAAATACTGAAGCAACCAGCAAAAAGCAAGTACTGTTCAGGGAACAAGCTGAATCTTAGATAAATTAATAATTCAAAGCTTCATGATTCATTTATCCAGGTCCAAAAATGCATGTGGTATAGGAGGAAATCCAGACCATTACTTTGGGTTTTACATTATTGGATTATCACATTTTGAGGAATTGAGGCAAACGATTTTTTATTCAACTTCAGAGGATAAAAATTATTTATAAATTCAGCATAAATGACAACCTTCTATAATTAGTTGGCAGACACAATGTCCTATAGTTCTTCAAGATCTCAATGTCTTTTGACTTTTTAAAACCAAAACACAATGCCCCCAGTACACACACACATCAACCTTCTTGCATCACTTCTTAAGAGCACATTTGCAGTTTATCAGCAGTTTCATTTGTTAAGTTCAAGTGAGGTGAAAGGCACCAACAGAACATTCTTTAAAGAGAACCAGACTAGTAGCTTATCTTAGGTAAACAGACTGTCACACGGGAGAACAAACTACTTATATTTGTAAGGCCAGCATGTGGACATACTATGAAAAAGATTGAAAAAGAGCCCTAGATAAAACTATGCAAATACCTTTGTCCTTGTGTACCCTCTAGTGGCTGTCGAGGTTATGCTGGCGTCACAGTAACTAAGCAGGGAATGTCCTCAACCAGACAGAATCAGAGTGCTTCCCTCTGCAACAGCTCTTTTAAAGAGATGGAGATTCATGAGATCAGGGTTCTGAGCAGGCAAAAGTATTGATTATTTGAAGTTTAAAGTTTACAACAAATTCTGCCTTGTTAGTTTAATGAAGTGAATCCAAGTTTTCCACTTAAACAGTGCCAAGATACATCAAGCAAGGCATATAGCAAGCATTCAGAGCATGTGCCTGTGTAACAGTGGCGTATGTGCACGCTGCACGCAAACTGTGGCAATGTCAGTAAGTTAAGCGGGGTATTTATTACTCTTCCAGGTGGAAAAAAATCCAATACACAGGCTGCAGAGACTACATAAGAGTGACTTATGTATGAAATAGCAGTTCCAGACTACAGTAAAAACATTATTTAAACTAGAAATGGCTGTTTTGTCTGGTTTGTGCTGAAGAACTGGATTACATCAGGGACAAAAACTGTTATCCAGTATAAGAACATTCTCCAAGCAAACAACTAACATTTAATTTGGTTCAGCTTAAACAAACATAAAAGACTGTACAACAGACACTTCAAATAAACCCACTAAAAATCTCCACCCTCACACCCAAACTCCCCAATAAATAAAAACAAAGGTCAACACCCTAGCCAAGGTACAAAGTCCTCTCAATAATGGAAAAAACCTCAAGTCAATTCTCACAGCTATGATTTAGCAAATATAAATTGCATACTACTATTTAGTGGACCACACAGCTGGTAAAACATGAAAATTAACAACAGTCAAAAAGAGAATATATAGAGGTTTTAGCAGCTCATATTTACTTTTTCAAGAACTCTAAATGCAACTTGCAGCTACATCATTCAGCTAAAGATGCAAGTCATTAAACGGTGTAAGAAGAAACATCTTGAGAGCTGCTGAAGTGTTGAGCCTTCAACAAATCATTACAAAATTTGTGCAGGAGGGAAGCATTGTGAGGCCTCTAATAATGCTGTGCCATCCTAAATTAGGTACTCAGCTTACCAACACGATGAAGGCAAAGGGTGGAGTAATTAGACTAGATAACAACGCCTATATATTACAAGAAAAAAAATCAAAATAGTGTCTTGAAATAATATGAGATAATGCACATTCAAGATGAAGATTTCACAAAGAACAGGATGCACACCACAGATGTACAACACATAAGCAGTAAACTGAATCCCAGGCTACATGTACAACAGACATTACTTTTAATCAAAAGATTCTCTTATCTTCAGTACAACATATGGACAGAGGTGTCCAGTCAGTCCTGCAGACAACTGAAAGTTTCCCTTCAGATACAGCAATTAAGTATTCAGCAACAAGAATGCTGGCTCTACTGTACATGGCAAGTGCAGGTGTTTTTTCTGTATCCCAGATGTACATCAGAAAAAAAGCCATGTGATCGTATAGCCTAACCAGGTCTTTGCTTATTCATCTTTACCATATGTTCATAGGCAGCAGTGCAAAAATTCCTCTTTCTGTGTGTTTACAGCTTGAGTTTAAGTTAGTCCTTTCTCCTATTTTGAAGATAAAACCTGAACAACTGTGTTATTCATCCCCATGCCTGAGTTTTGCAATAATGCAGTACAAGCTTGCCATCACTTCCAAAACACTGCAAGAAAAAGAAAAAAAACAACAGCAGTTACAATTACTCATGGGCTAGCATATACATGAAGCAAAACAAAAAGTCTTCCCATCAGACGAACATGTCATGGAATATTGTCATGAGAAAGCTCCCCATTACAGTGAGAGGCATGGAAACACACTGCACATGAAGGAATGCATTTCCAGAGACTGCACGAAGTCACATCTCTTTGGACTCGGTTCACACAGATCAGTAAACATCAATTACACTACAATTAAATGCAAGCTATTACTGCTAGGGGCAGTGGGAGATTTCAAGGGCCCGAGGCATGCAGGCAAATCCTGCTAAATGCATTTGGAAAGGATATTCAGGATGAAAGTTACCTCATAGAGGGTCCCCACTTCCTGGTCTGGAGATGGAGCAAAAGACTGGTTTACGTATATGAACTGCAAGAAAATGAGGGAGAAGAGATGGAGATAGCACAGGATCCCACTGGGAACAGGGAAGAATCATTCTGCAGTCAAAAGTTCTGCTATTAATCTTTAAGCATATAACAGAATACGACCAGTTACTATCATTTTCTCTTCAGTGTGGAGGGGCAACAGGACTATGAGGAGTCCCCTCTGTCTCACCAGTCGACCAAGCCAAAGTAAACGTACTGACTTCCTTTTCCTGCACGCTGACCCATTACTCTCCCAAACAGCCGCACAAAGGGTTTAGCTCTTGCTCTTATTTCTGCCCAAACCACTCACTCACTATTCCATATTTGCTCAATTAGAATGGCCAACACAGAAATAAGAAACATCTTGTTCTATTTTCAAGTCATCCTTTTCACTTCCTGCTCCAAAAAATAGATTTACATGTATAGCAGCTAATCCTCAATGACAAAGAGGGCCTTGTGATCTGCTGTGTGGGGCAACAGTGGACACTGGGGTATCATGTGCTATTTCCTAATAAAATATATAAAATTCCTAGGGCTTTGTTTTTGAAGCATAGCCTTAGGCTTCAGCCACACAGGAAGGCTATGTGCTCCTGGGTTTTTTTGTGTTGAGGTAATAAGATGATAGTCACGGACTCCAACTGTTCAGAATGTCCTTGGTCAACATCATACTTATCACTCTTCTTTGAAATATTAAACTATGGAAAAGCAGATCCCTCATGATTTCCAGGTGAATCAGAAGGCGAATGCATTTATGCCTATATACTTAAATAAGATCCACCAAACAAAGAATAGAATGAATTTGGCTACACTTTAGTTGACTACTTTAATGAGGCTAGCTTTAACTATGTGTATCTTCAATAAAAACTTTGGACTGTACTGAGAGTTCACTGCAGGAAAACAAAATCAGTGCCACTGTATTTCCAGCTCTTCCAGTATTACTGTGAGGCCACTTTGGCTAGTCACTTCCGCAGCAAGGAATCCATAAATAACACTGGCAATCTGCTGCCCAAGGACAAACACCTCCCAACTCCCCATTTTAAAAGCAAAATCACTCCTATGACAGTAGCTAAACTATTTTAGATGTGAGTTCTGAAGGAAACAGACACTCAGATTTAGGAAGCTGATCACAAAAACCTCTGGACTGCTTCTCCAATACTCTGTCTCTATACCTAGTTCCAACAGGTACACAGTGCCTAGCAATGTTTCCCTGGGACACACGGCTGCCCAGCGTGCACACAGCTCTGGCTGACAGACACCGAGAAATACAGACACTGCACATAGCCACAGCGTGTTGCACACACCCACAGCTCGCTCTATATTATATCCTAACTCTACTTGGAACAGTTCTCTTGGTGCTGCTACTCCAGGTTTCCTGCAGGCAGCTGTAGCCTAGATTCCAACAGTGTCTTTGCAGGTTTGACAACGGGGGCCCTGCGCACTCAGCCCCCGCCCAGTGCCCGCCCGTACCAGCTGCTCGGAGGCCATCAGCTTCAGGAACTTCTTGATGAAATCCACGAGGCCTTGGATGGTCCGGGTCCGCTCCACCGCCCACTTCTTGGTCCTCATGATGGGGGTGTCGCCCACGGCCTTCAGCAGCACGT